CATAGCAAATGTCTACAGAAAAATGAGCTTTTGCTCTGTTTTAAAGTTTATGTACATAAATTCATTTGACTGGCAAGGTTAAAAGTTTTAACTAATCATGAACTTAGAAAATGTGGGATGCATACAGATTGCTGTTTGTGTTAAAACATCTAACACTGAAGCAATAAAGTTCATGTAAACTCTGAAGAGATGCTTTTTAAAATGTCACGTCATTCTGTTAAATTTGGGATTGTCCATGATTTTACTGATAATTTTTATGAGAATCTTGAATAGATTTTTGACTATAAATAATTATTTATATGTAACTATTTTTTACCAGATGTGAATTTTTACTAATATATGATTTTAAAAACTTGTTCTATTTATGGATAATCAACTTTTTAGTTAGGGTATTAAACACTATCTTCAATACATTTATTCTAAAGTATATTATTAATAGTTTTACACACCAATGAGTATTAACAAAATGTATAAAAATTTTATACCTAACAGAGGTATAAATATGCCCTCTGGGAGAAATAATAGATTATTTGGTGTCTGGATAAAGTGTGATTAATAAAGGCAGAACTTCACCTCAGAAATATAAGATTTAGTGGGAGGAGTTAAAAAGCACAATTAGAAAATAATCAGTGTACCTCACTAGGGAAAAAAAATGGAGTTTAATTTTTTTTTAAAGTTTAGTGTCTGGTATATTTGAGAACTTGAAGATAAAGGTTTCTTTTGATAGCTTAAATCTTTGCCTACCCATTTCACTAATAAAGTTACATTTGACGATGGTGTGTATGCTTGTCAAAGACAGTTTGGGGGAATGATGAAATTTAAATTAGAAAGGGCTTCCAGTTTCACAGAGGGAATATAAGATTGGCTGTTATCTAAGGACAGATAATCTTTATAGGAAGGAATGAAGCAGCAGAGGTAGATTCATCCTTAGGAAGAATTGACAGTGTTTCTCTAATTAACTCATTGCCACCCTTTTAAATGTGCAACTGTAGACCAAAATGCCCTCTCTGTCATGAAATAGTTAATCCACAACTCTTCTTTCCTTTCAAAATGTCCTTTCTATCTTTTCTGGATTATGTTCTCCATATTCAAATTTGTTACTTTTCCCACAGTACTGCCAATTTTCAGCTGCATCCTGTTGTAAAGCACTTCTCTCTTCTAAACTGACAGTAGCCCTGCCACTCTCCATTTTTACTCCTTTGTCTTTCTTCATCTGTTTTTCTCTTTCTTACATGCACAAACACCAGCCATCAACCCTTGTACTCTCTGTGTTGCTCTGCCTCTGAATCAATGCTTTTACAATCAAAGTGTTGTCTGAACTCAGTTATAAATGTATATTTTCAAATGAATTATATGATTAAATACCATTAGATAGCAAAGTCCTTTATGGTAAGATTGTTGGATTCGAGTGCTTTATTTTATTTAATTTTACTTGGGGAAATGGATTTTCAGAATTGAGAAAAATACAGACATTTAGGCTCCATAAAGTAATGTAAGATTCTGGTCCATTCTCAAAAAAAAGAAAAATGCTGAAGTCAACTCATGAAAAAAAGTATTACAGATAGTTTCTGTGAGAAATTGAACTTTCAAGAAAACCTTTCTGAGTGGAAGTAACGACTGCAAATGTGGGTTAGAAAGTCCATATATTCCATCAGTCTTTAGCAAGAATATCACCTTTTCAACTACTTAAGAAAAACATTGCATAATAAAGCACAATTTCTCTGATTTCTCAAACTTAGACTTGATTTGATAAATGCTATACATTTCCATTATTGTAAAGAAAAAATGAGTATCACCACAGAGAAATAGGTGGGTTATTGTATTTAATTTAGTCTCATGATTTGCTCATTCTGTGGAAATATAATTGAATCCAGCTAATTATTTAAAATATATACAAGAATTTGTGATAGCTATGGAATTAATCTATGACATGATTTAGTGTTTTTTGTCTACCTAAAATTCCTTTTATCTCTGTCTTTAACCCATTGATCTTGAAACAGAGTTGTTTCATATAGTTCTATATTGAAGTCCTTTATAAATCAACATCTCTTAGTAACACTTGATAATCAAAATACATTGTTACAGTGAAATTTAATAGTTATGGAAGAATATCTTTCTCTCTCATTATATATATGCTACCTAGTTATTTAGTGACAGTCACTAACCTCTTGTTCCATGGTAGATGAAGACAGCAATATGATCTCAAACTTAAGACTCCAGTGTAAATAAATAATTTGAGTCCTGTTGAGTGACTTTGTTATAATAATTCTCAAAAGAATGAGGTATAATTTTAATGTCATTTCTGGTTTATGGAAGACTGTAAACTTTACAAATTTCATCACTTGAAACTAAGTTTTTCAGTCTTCTATACTTTGATTGACTTTCATGTGTACCTCTTCTGCAAGGTACAGAAGTTGTAAAAGTGGAAAATAAAAATAGCTAGTGAATTATGCTTTGGGACATGAAAATGGTCAAAGCTGTACAATTTATTATTATCTTGTAGAGAATATATAGGACATTAAAATTCTTATGCTATAGTCTATGACAAAGAATATATTGATAACTATAAATAATAAAGAGTACAACATGAATTTTCTTGTAATAATGATTAAAACTTGCAGTAGGAAATACTTAACCCCTTTCCAACAAAAGAAAGGACTATTTGGTCAATGTTTATTTTTCACTTTTGCATTGAGGAGCTATTTACACCCACAGAAATAAAGGGAAAATATGCATGTTCAGTAGTGTTGACTAGATTGTGTAAGAAGGTGTTTCCAAAATAAATGGGATATTGTGGTGTAGGGTTAATATTGACCAATATTGTTCCAGAATAATTTTAAAGTAACAATTTTAGGGCAAATTATATGTTTAAAAATGGACTCTTTGCTGTCATGGAGGACCCATGATAACAAAATAATATAGTATTTCTATACAGAAGCCATTAATTAAAAAAATATTGGACTTCACTTGCATTTAACAATAGGATCTCAGGTTTATTTGATCCTTTTATTTACTGATACCTGTTATTATATAGGTACACAGCTCTACATAAACTAAAGAAAATATAATTATCCTACACCACAAAGATACAAATAAAACTTACATGCCTCAATTTGCTAATAGTTCTTTTTTGTTGATTACAGGTGTTCAGTGTTTAGACACACCATGGCAAAATAAGCACAAATACGGTGTTGTGAAAGGGAACAGAGGTTTGAAAAGGAGCAGATTGTGTTAGTGGTACTTTCTTATTACAGTGAATTTGCAATGGGTTGTTGTAAGTGTGAGTAAAGTCTTTCTGAGCATTTATCAGAGCACTTCTTTTGAGAATGAAAACATATCCTTGTTCTGGTGCAATTTGTAATACCTTTTGGCAACTCTCCATAGATGTAGCACTACTATTGATACAACAACTGGGTTTCTTGTCAAAATATTTAACATCTGGCTCAAAAGGTATTTTTGATGGCTATAAGCATGTGCAACTCCTCTGTTCATTAAGGCTGAACATTTAAAAGTGTTTGGTACACTGGGACTAAGCTAGCTCATAGTGAACAGCATTCTTCAGGTGATTTGCTGAATATCTCTGCTTAACCCACCACAATGAATTGATGGAATTATGCCAGCTTCGGGATATGCACAAGTAAGGGGAATTTTAGCAAACTTTTTCTAAGCCTGGCAGTACTACTTATACATTTCGAAAACCTATTATGAAACAAATGGAGAAAGAGAAACTTCCTGGATCCATGTGTACTTTTTACCAGGGAAACAAATAATCTGTTAAAACATTAATGGTTTTGCTTGTAGACTAGGTGCCTTTTAGATCTGCATGTTTTATCAGTCTTTAATAGACTCCTTATACCACTTATATCATTAGTTCTGGGCATGAAAAATGTTCATTTTAAGAATTGTCCTTTAAAGACATTTTTGATCTAGTGGTTGTTCAAACACACTTGGCACTGTGTTTTAGGGCAATTATGTGAATTAGGTTGTATAGTGGGTCAGAATGGCCATCATTCCACCTTGCATGCTATACCCATAGCTTTGTTACTTGAATTTGAAAAAAGCTCCCATCTGGGCATTTTGATAATCTTCCAGAACCATCATTTTAATAAGGTGTTGTAACACATTATGAAGAATACAAACAATAGCATTGGAGAAAATAATTCCATATAAGTAAAATATTTTCATTTGCATTTTACAGTATGACTATATAGTAGCCCTTTGCTCAAAGAGTGGGTGAAGACGTCATCCCTGTTCTACCTTGTTCCTGTGTTTTTTTTAAGCCAACCTTATATATACCATGTTCCACAACATTTAGAGAGTCAAACAGAAGTTCATGTTTTAAGCAATGGTCTAGAACTCTCCCATCTCTCCTGCCCCCTTTCTTTTGTAACCCTTTAACCTGGTTCTGCCTCTAACTGTGAAATATTGGCTCTGTTACTCACCTCAGTCTCATCTAGCTACCATTCTGTTGGTGCATTTTTCTCTACGATCTGTATTTTGGTCTAACTTTATGGGCCTTATCTTAATACACCATTTGCTCTGAGCAACCCCCATGATCGTAAGTAAGTAGGAATTCCCCACCCTAGAATTGGCCAAATTTAGAAAGATCTCCAGTGGCTCCTCTACATAGCCACACAGCTGTAAGCCTGTGATGAGATCCAACTAAGCTACTTAGAAAACTTTGGTACATTACTGATGTAATTTCCTTAAAATAGAAAACAGAACCCAAAGTTTAGGCTCCCAGAGCGGCATTAAAAAATAATTCACAATACTTCCAACTTTGAGACTTTTATTGAATGTTCACATATGTAAGGCATATTACTGCTAAACAGAGAATAAGAAAATAGGGGGATTCAAATATAAAAATATAAATTAACCACTTTCACCTCTTTCCTCTACACTTTTTCTTTTTTTATTTCCCCCTTCCATTTTTGTCATAATTTGTTTTCTCTGTTTGAAGATGTAGAAGGTGGCATGTCACTAGAAGAGAAATTGGCAAATTAGAAAGGCAGTGGAAGATGGTATACTGGGAGTGGATCAAAAAACATAGGCATATTGAGAAATGAATTGGAGATCAGAGGTCCAGGATATATGAAGCAAGGATCACTAGTGCACCAATCTAAACATGCAATACTAGGAAGCATGGTGATAGGTCTTGGCAAGTTCTCCATGGGGTACCATGGGCCTCCCAGTGGGGGAAAAAAAAAACAAAAAACATGAGCCAGCCTTTCATTACCAGCCATTATCATATTTCCTGGAGGCAACTTCATCATTATCCCTAATCTAATAGTGGCGATAAGTGGAGTACCTCTTACTTGTGTGCCCCTGGGTGGAAAGAGCCCTTGACCTTGTGGTAAAGCCACATGGAACTTTGCATTATTGACACCTCTCTTAGTGCCCTCATTGCTGACCTTTGTCTCTTCTATCATCAGTGAGGGAGGGCTGCCAGAGAATTTTTGGGACACGTTAATATAACCTTGTTATATCTGCCTCCAGCCTGCCAGCCACTCAGAGCTATTTACTTCTGCTGTTGTTAGGGAATCTTCTGCAATAGCAGGTGGTGTACCATATGGGTGTTTGAGAACTCTCCAACTGTCAACAGGAATGCAAAACCTTCTCAGTTTCTCTCTTGCCAGATCTAGTGGCACATAGAAGGAAGGTCTCAAAGGCATACGAGGTTTTCCCCAGGACTCCATATCATCCTTCTGTGTGGTACTCAAACTTGGAGGAACATGTTGGGACGTGGTCTCTGTTTCCTGTATCCATTTATAGCTACTGCTATGGGTGAAAGGGCATGCCCTTCAAGGCTTGCAAAAATAGAAATAAATTCATCAATAAATATGGAAATGCAGCAACCAGGAAATATGTGATTGATTGAAGTTGGTGGTATACACCAGCGGGAAGGAGAAAGCCAGATAGTCAGAAAACACTTCAACTCACTCATCCCTTATCAGGGGACCTCTCTGGCACCAGGCTACATGATCACCATTCATGACTGACCTGTGGCTCTACCCCATTTCAATTTCCTCACCTCCTCAAGGCAGCAAGTAAGACTAGAAGACCCAGATAGCTTCCTTAACTGCCACAGTGTGAAGGTATGCCACAGAAAACACCAGCTCTTTCAGTCCTAGTAGGATCAATGATCCACTAAATTCAACATTCAGATTATGGCAGGTATGTTCTGGAAAGTTTTGTGAAGGAAAACATTTTTCTCTCCACAGAGGTTAAAGAAAGGTTGGTTATGTTAAACACTCCAGTTTGTTCCTCTTTATGAAGCATCATTAAATATTCATATGAAATGTTGTTAAAGTTTTATTTCATTCAATCTAAGAATTTCCTCTTGTTTAAACCCCACTACTTAGAATAAGGATTGACATCTTGTTTCAAAAGTACTTTTAAAAATCGTCAACCTTAAAAACAGTATTATTAGTAGCTGAGTTTATAGTCTTCAAGTATTTGTGATCCCTTCCAACCCACTCCACCTTGTCCCACTACACAAGAAAACAATTCAGTTGTACTCAGTTTAGTACTTACATATTCCCAGTACACACCATGGAGAATTTTGATTAGGAAGGTCTGCGGTGATGGAGAAAACCGCTGAATGTCCAAGCAGGCCAACTCAGTCTGGAGCCTTAATTCCTGCTTCTGCCTTAGAGCAGTTTGGCAACTCAAATGAAGCTAGAGACCAACTGCTTTGTTCTAGACTTGGAGTTCTCTTGCTGAGATGACTGGTTGCTAGGTAACAGGGGGACATGAATGGGGAGGGGGAGGGGATAAATCTGTGATACTCCTTTGAAATTAAATATAGGATTCCTGTCTACACAGTAATAGATGGATAGTAAAGCCATTCAGTCCCTTAATCCAGTTGCATGCCAGTTGAAAAGACATTTCAAGATTTGAGAAGAATAATGGAGACAGGTCTTTTGCTAATAGTTATGTCTGAAGTTTTACTTCAGAAAGGTAGTTGTCATGTCTCTTCTTGGAGTTTGGAAATACAAACATTGAGCAGAGTTTCATGTCTATTCCTCTCATTTAAAATTTCATTTCTGGAGATGCATATGATTAACTTGGTGAGGAAGAGATTTGGGGGTTAAATTACTTTTTAAACTGAGTCGCTCATGTGAAGATGAAACAAAATAGCACTATAAAAATCCATCTAAGAATCATACTGGCTTTTATTTTTTGACCCCTTGATTTTCAGTTATTTTCTTCATCCTACCTTCTAGTTTATCAGCTGTGTGTATTATTTATACATATATAAATATATGTCAGTATATATATAATTTCCTGTAATAGAGTTCTGAATACTTCTCTGCAAGGGGGGGGGCACAAAAGATATAACAGCTATCAACATTTACAAATTGGAGATCATATTTTGCCTTGTAACTTTTCTGCAAAAGGCACTTTCTGTTTTTCCAGCCTGTTCCCTTCTCCCACTTTAAGCAATAATACTTCCCCAGCTTTTATTTTCTGCCATTGATCTACAGATCACTTGCTCTAAAATTACAAAAGTCATTCCTTCATCTAAGATTACTAATCCTGCTTTAGGATAAAGTCATAAACTTAGCCCGTTTTCTTAAATTTACCTAAAATCTGTGCTGCATAGACTACACCTTAAAGAACTTAAAATATCTTTATTCCCAATATAAAAATGTTTTTTTTTTATTTAAACAGTTTATCTATAATTTATTTTTGCTTAAGGAAAGATAACAGACACAAACACCATGTGTTTCAATTTATGGATGTGTGGAATATGTGTGCATGTGTGCATTCATGTATGTGTACAATGGATAAATACAAGATGCTAATGCAAAGAAATGGTCACTGCTAAAAAGCAAGACAACTCATGGTAGAAATGACCTTTTGGGACTCTAAGTCCACATCCTTCTGCAAGGGTGTCTATACACTATTGAGTTTTCTTTTTAATCTCATTGAAAGATGAAAGCAACGTTTCCAGAAGAATCTGTTCACTTGTGCAGAATGATTCACTATTGAGAAATCTCATGATCCACAGCTACAGTTTCTGTTTTTCAATTTATTATTCTTATTTTATGTAAAAAAAAAAAAAAAAAAAAAAACTGCGCTGGCAGGTTTGGCTCAGCAGTTGGAGTGTTGGCCTGCGGACCAGAGAGTCCTAGGATTGGTTCTCACTAGGGGCACATACCAAAAAAACACCAAAAAAACAAACAACAACAAAATCAAAAAACACTAGCAATATAATTGTGGTGGAGTTTTATGATATTTTTGACATGTGCCATATTAGATGCAAAAAAAGCAACTTGGGTGAATGCCTGCTAATCATTGGTAAGTCATATTTACATAATTTATGCTTGAGAGTTTGAATTTATGAATAGTGGCAAAGAAGCCCTAGGAAACTATTTTATGTCTATAATACTATTGCTATTATTGGCTGTTTTTACCTAGAAATGCCTGTTCAGTGCGTGAATCCTGAGAAAGAAGATATCTACTAAAAAGGGCCCCCAGTGGTTAACTGGGCTCAATCAATCAATTAGAGTTTAGCAATTATTTCTGTACATGCAGACTGTACTTTAGAGAAACATGCGTTTCTCCTGCCTCTGCACTGAACTGCCTTCCTACACTGTGTTCCTGCCATCTGAGCCAGCGTTTATAAAGGTATTTCTAGAACCCTATTTTAACCAATAAAACTAAGGCTTTCCCTATCTATTCAGAGCTACACAGGTATATCCCAGTTAGTTTCTTCACTGACCAATCAGCGTGGCTCCTTTTTGAACAATAGGGACAGTGCATTTTGGACCAATCAAATTGTGAGGATTTGAAGACCTCATTTGCATCAGGATTGCCTAATTAGATACCATGGGTGGGGATTTCTGTCTATATAAGTCCACTCCCCTCTGGCTCTGGGAGTGCATCTCCCCTTTACATAAAACCTTTGTTTCCCTGGCTGAAGCTGAAACACAGAAGATGTCTTATTGGAGTAGAACAGAGCAGATAGATGCAGGCCAGATCAGCTGGCAGAGACTGGAGCAGATCAGAGCAGAGTGGGGCAGAACAGAGATGTCTAGCCAGAGAGAGGCCTTGTGCCAGGAATAACTGGCCCCAGGGCCACCTGGCCTCACAGACCTGCTGTTCTCACAACTGCAATGCTGTAATCATTATTGATCTGTTTCACAGTTATGCTGTTTTCACAGCCATGCTGTATCATAATTAAGTTGTTTTTCACTTAATAAAGTTTCCTTCTTCACCACATCCCACACTGGAGATTCCTGTTGGCATTGGATTGGTGCCAAAGACCATCAGCTGACAAGGAAAAAATCACCTTAATTGGATTAGATGAGAGTTAAGTGTTATGCAGTCACCAAAAAGCTGGAAAAAATGACAAAGCCAATGGCACGTGAGAAATTTTCAAAACCATAATAAGCATCATACATTTATGTATACTAGCTCAAAATTTGCCTTGTAATTTGTTAGCTGTTGTGCAATTAATGTTTATTAAATGATTACTGAATACATTCACTGTTTGTTTTAGTGTAGATTTTGCCAAAAAAATATGCAATATTCAAAGTTTCTGGGGAGAGAAAATAACAACTACTAAAAAAATCAAAGACTGGCACAAAAAATAATAGACCCAGACCATTAATTTTATGGTATAAATTAAGACCACAGTGGAGCCCTGGCCAGTCTGGCTCAGTGGCTGAGCATCCGCCTGTGGACCAGAGAGTCCCGGGTTTGGTTCCTGCTAGGGGCATGTACTACAAAAATTTTTTTAAAAAGACCACGGTGGAAATTCATAAAAAAGAGCTGTAACTTTGATTAAAGTAGTTGTGAAATATTTTATTTGGAGTTGGGGCTTGAGTTGTATTTTGAAGGATGGTTACAACATTCAAAGGGAGAGGAGGAGATGACATTCTATGTCAAGAAGGGGTAAGGAGGTAACAATAAAAGGACATTTTTAGAATTTTGTAGTTCAGATTTTTAATGCGAATTAGAGCTCATATTTTATATAAATAGAAATATAAAGTACTAATTGGACCTTATAGAGATAGCAAAATCAAACAGATAATTAATAAAGTTGTACCTATTGAGGAATATTTGAAGAAACTCAGATTTTATAGTTAAAGGTAAAACTGGAATCATCTCAAAACCTACCATTGACAAAAAGCTAGTAAGCTACCTCAATTATTTGTTGAACTCTAAAAATGAAGGAATAAATGACATGCCTATTTGTTTCTTTGTTTGTTTGAGTGACTACTTTTGGGAGGGAAAAATGAGTAATGGAAGTTGAGGATTTGTCAAAAAAAAAAATAGCTTAGTTGTGAATGCAGCTTACTTATAAATGCCTTTCATTACCCATAGCATCTTTTTTCATGACACAGATCCAGAAATTACATATTTCTCAATAGGTTTCAAGGACTTCATTGAAATGCTAACTGAGAACCATAAAAAGATATATTTACTTTTGCACAACAATTATGAGGTCATGAAAATGTGGCTGTACAGCTGAAATCACATTGTTTTTCAAATAAATATTTCAGATGTGTAAATGCAGGCAAAGTTTCATTTGAAATACATCATTTCACAAAGATTTAACTTTGGGTGGTGGGCACACAATGCAATATACTGGTGATATATCATAGAAATATACATTTGATACCTATATAATTTTATTAACCATTGTCATCCCAATAAACTAAATTTTGTAAGAAGATACATACTGAAATAAATAAAGATAGATGATTAAAAAATGCATCTCTT